ATGCTTGTGAAAGCATGTTAGCAAGTCTCTTCTTTCGCATGGTGAAAGTCGAAGCTCTCTAGCTACTTTCTATCAAATGTTATTCAAAAAACATCCGAGTCCATTCTTTTTCTTACTGACAATACTCAGAGATTGTATAGCTCTTAGAAAAATCAAATTTCTCAGTCAATATACGACCAAGTGTTGGGAATTTTGTTTTCCATAAAGCTCGAAAGTAGTACTATCTAATATATGACTCAAAATTATTTTATTCACAAATTTTTTTTTTCTGGTTTTTTTTTCGAAACGGTACAATGTCAATGCAACTCACTCATATATATGTATGTATAACTTATATATGTATAGATATAGATATTGTATATATATAAATACATATGTTGCGGACAAAATTAGAATTCGGTCAAATTTCGAATTTGTTTGGACATAACTGGAATTCTAATTTCGCCCGGACAAAATTAGAATTCTAGTTTTGACAAGAGTTTCTATGGACAAAATTGGAATTCCAATTCTGTCCGGACGAAATCAGAATTCCAGTTTTGATCAAAAGATGAGAGTCCGGACAAAATTAGAATTTTCCTGTTTAAAAGAGATTACAGTTGATAAAGGTAACAGATTGGTGCTCTCCGTTAAAATCTTAGTGTATCTCCTTATGTGTGTGTTTTACTTTATTGCTACTGACGAAGAAATTCGAAAGCGCTTTAGCATTTTTAATATTAGTCTTCTCTCCTCTGTTTTTTGTTAATAAAAATTTCAAAAGTCAATAGGAGTATACATAGCACACACCACGGTCGCCATCCAACCTATCGATTAGCTCAATTATCAACGCCAGTCGTGCATAATATAACGGCAACCGACAATATCCCGTACAGGCTGCCAATTTTTCATAACTGGCTAACAGCGTCACGTACGGCTTTTTAATACCGCTAAGATCAATGGTCTAAAAAACATGTTTCCAAATACAGATTTAGGTTTGGAACTATTTATCGTATATGAGTTTTTCCAATATTATATGGCGGCAAGAAAAATGTGTCTTTTTTATCTTTTCTGCACAAGTTATTGGATAGTTACTGACACAGGATATTATTTTTGGAGTTTCTCTCCCTGCTGATGTTGGATTAGTAGTCCATTCAACTCGTCTAAACATAGATGCTAAGTTAAATTATGGTTTAATTTTAATGAGATATGCATAGATTGTGTAGATTCTTGTTGAATAGTATATAATCGATTACCGCGTTACCACAAACTACTGAATTCATTCTAAAAGAGTCAATTAATCTCAATCCATAACAAAACATACTTATCTTAAATACCCATGTAGAATTTTTTCAGCGAATTTCTGCGTTAAACATTCAAATAACGCAGAAAAGAGCGACTTGCCTACAAAATTTTGCAAAAAGGCCAACTAACCCAGAATTTTGTCGATAATCTTGCTGCTATAAAAATTTGGTCAGGATCGGACTTATAGTTTCAGAGATAGGTTTCTGACGGGAGCGGCTTAACTTGTGAAACTCCCTCCAAGTAGTTATATACCCATAACCCGATGCTATGATGGTTTTTTTGACTTTGTCAGACATTATGACGTTATATAACGCATGGAGTGGTACACGTTATCACGTTATGTGATGAATAAAAACTCCTTATGCGCTTTGTAACGTGATAATATATGACATTTTCCACACGTTTTTCTCACGGGAAAGCTTCATGTGTGATAAAGTGTAAACCTCGTTTACACTATATCATACGTTATAAAATGAATAAGATTTTAACAGTGTGTCTATAACACGAAAAAGAAAGAAAAGCAGGATATACAATGTGAAAGGAGTCTAACATTGCTACGGCTTTTATCTCTGTTATCACATTCTTCTTCATGTGACATCATTTTACCACAGGAAAGAAAAAGAACAATTTAGATTCTTCTCTATATGCAATATACTGATTATCGTCGAACGAATTGAAACTTCTTTTACGTATTCTTAGAAGTCAACACGCACTTTTCTGCCTATAACAAAATAGAAAATCGTCTATATTGATACTTCAATTCAAAAATGGTAAAACAAAGTGGTAAAAAGCCATCTGTAGCTCAAAATAATACTAGAGTTATACCAAGTGAGGATGATACTGGAACCAGAAAATCGTCAAGAGCCTGAGATATTTTGCACGATGTGCGGATTCAGTAGTTTTAAAAGCAAAATTTAATTTGTGTCAAACAATCATCAAAACACCAAATCACACAACATCAACACTGATAAGACATCTAAAAGCCGCTCACAAACTGAAAAATGTTAGCACCAACGGACTAAACAAAAAGGTTGCTTCTCCAAAACTATTAACAAAAGAGAAACGTGCTATAGATAAATTTGTTATTCAAGCAATTATTAAAGATGGTCGATCATTTTGTGATTTTAGAAAACCTGACATGCAGACGTTTATTAATCAAATTATTCCTAGTAAGAACTGAGTTGGTGACAGATACCGAATTGACTGTAATTAGGCGCTTACTACTTTATTTTTATATGAAAAGCTGATTCTGAGATTCACTGTTAATAGATTTCTAAAAAACAACGTGTAGAGTGCAAATGCTATATGTAAAAAACCGATGATTTTATATTTTGGCTTCTTCTCCCATATCCGTTTGAGTCAGAAGTTTCAGATTTCTAGAAAGTATGCCACTTAGAGGAAACATTTGACAACACTGCAACTTTACTTCCATGACATTACCTCGTATTTTTCACTGATTTTAGCAATTATTTTATATTTGCAGGCTATAGACTACCTCATTCAACTCGAATTCGTCCTGACTTGATACGTCTATATCGTAAGCATTCAGAACAATTAATATCCAAGTTAGAAGAAACTGATCATATAGCATTGACTTTTGATTTTTGGAGTGGTAGGAAAAAAATTCATTCATGGCTATTACTGGACATTTTGCTTCCGATAAATTTGAAATGAAATCGACAATTTTAAAATTCTTAATATTCGATAGTCGCCATTTTTCGTCTAATATTGGTCAAGAACTTGAAAAACAAGTTCGAGAGCTTAACATATTTGATAAAATAACAGCAATCATGTGTGATGGTGTTGCGAACTTAAAAGCTGCATTTCGAAAATTCTCTCGTAATAATATTGAACACATCCATTGTCTTGCTCATAAAATTCATTTGATATTATGTAATGGTCTCGGCCTATGGGTGGCACCAAAAATTGTTATCAACGATGTAGATATTGAGGAGCAGGAGAAGAATGGAAGTTACAAAATTATATCGAGAATTGACCAAGGATAAATTAGTAGAAGTTATTTTTACAGCGGTTTCAATAAATTTATTTTCTTTCGACGTTTCGAGTTCACATGAACTCATTTTCAAGATTTGAAAACAAAATTGTTAAAAACGATTACA